ACTTATGGTTGCCCAGAAGGAGTTATCAACTGGATCATCCTGTAGCAGTGGTTGGACGGGGGCACGGGACAGGCAGTTGGCTTCGGAGTGCTTTGTTTCGAACTTGTGAACGACGAAAATGTCGACTATTTGCTGTCTCCCGCTTCACCTTGCGAGACGACCTGAAGAGTCTTTCAAGTTTGCCAGCCAACCCAAAGTGTGGTGATAAATTACCACTTTTAAGGGCCTGTATAGAGGCGAAATTTTGATGCAGCACAGATGATAGCAAGTCAATTCTTTTGTGATGTAGAATAGTTGGCATCTGCCTTTGTTAGCGACCAACTAGCAAACTGATGGCCCTTTTCAATCTGTCGGTCCTCTGCCCAAGAACGGAGCTGCGTCTTACACTGCTTGCGTCAGTGTGTATTTCCGTCTTGGCGAATGCGTCGAAATGCGCAAGTAACGAAGGGATCTCGAGGCGTCGTTTTAGTTCCTGAAATGCTTCCATCTGCGGAGTTTCTCAACTGAACTGCATGTTGGTGCTGCTGGAATTATTGCGTGGCCCCGCAATGCGGGCAAAATTTTTGGCGGACCGCCTCTGATGGGTGCACAGGCCGAGAAATCGATACACGGCCTTTTTGTCCGTGGGTGGCTCAAAAGCGGCAATGAAAGTTTTTTCTGCGCGTCAGGACGAGCTCCGGGTTTGCCGATGACAAGGCCTGAAAACAAGAGCTCCTCGTATGCGAAGCGGCACTTCACTGGTTTCAGGGTAAGCTGCGAGGTCTCTAGTGCTTGCAGTACAGCTTAAAGGCACAGGATGTGTTCGTCAAAGCCTGAGCAAAACACGACGACGTCATCCAGGCACGCAAGGCAACCTGCCTTTTCAAGTCAGCCAGTACTGTATCTATAACGCGTTGGAAGATAGTGGGAGCCGAGAGAAGACTCATAGGCGTGACCGTGAGCTTGAAGAAGTCGTCTGGTGTTATAAAGGCAGCCTTTTCTTGGTCTCTCTCATCGATTTCGATTTGCCAGTAACCTTTCTGGAGGTCCATCGGCAAAAAGTACTTAGCGTTGAGGAGTCGATCGAGGGTGTCGCCTTTCTGTGGGAGACGATACACGTACTTCTTCGTACCTTTGTTTAGGTGACGATGCTCGCTGCATAAAGGTAGGGTTCCGTTCTTCTTCTTCCCAACTACTACGGTATAAACGGACTCTTCAACGTTTGGATTATGTCATAGCGTAGCTTTTCGTCGGTTTGTTTTTTACGGGCTCCCGTTCTCACGTAAAAACTCAAAAATGTCTTTGACGGGTGGATAGGGCACTTTCTTCTGTTATTTTTAGTGTTTCGCGACTGGGGCATGTCCAATTCTTGACGACGGAGAGAAGCAGTGCTTGAGTTACAGGGGCAGAGTTTTGAGCTGGCCTTGCTTATGCTTCGATCAGCTCGGATTGGTGTCAGAATCGGGTTGCGAACGTTCATTCGTTGAAGCAGCTTCAGAAGTATCAGAGATCGCGAAATAATGGCGGGTGTCAACGGATTCTTTCAAGCGAGCGGTCGTCGTACCAATGTTTACGTGTATGTATTCATGTCCGAAGGTTGCCACCATTATCTTCGAACTCCCATGACTCCGGTCGGTGATGCCTCTCACTGCGTAAATATTGTGACGACGCGAGATGGACGAGCACACAAAGCGCCTCAAACAAATACGATTTATCGATCACAGGAAACAGACTGCAACGACTTCTTCGTCTTTTGCCCTCGGCCAAAGACACTCGCGCTCCTTCGTTGTCCTCACCACTGGCACATACGTGCGTCATTATTCCCCCTTTAAAAAAACATAGTCCCGATGTTAAACGTTTGAGAAGCAAGGCAAAACCAAAACTACACAGTTAGTCACTGAAAGTAAGGCTTCATCCGAAGCACGTGGACAATTTCTGGTGAATGTCTGCGCCGCTTTGAACACTGCACGCCGTCCGGAACAACCTCGTAGTTGACGTCACTAACGCGTCGCAGAACCTTGTAGGGTCCGAAGTATCTTCGCAACAGCTTTTCGGAAAGCCCACGCTGACGAACAGGTGTCCAGACTCATACTTTGTCGTCCACGTTGTATATGACGGGTCTGTGCCGGAGGTTGTAATACTTGGCATCGTCGTCTTGCTGTTTGGTGATTCGCAACCTGGCAAGTTGTCTGGCTTCTTCTGCTAGCTGGGTAAACTCTTCGGCGTCTGTCTCATTGGCATCATTTTCATGAGGGAGCATTGCGTCTAACGTTGTTGTAACCTCGCGTCCGTAAAGGAGACTAAAGGGTGTCTTCCGAGTGGTCTCTTGACGAGCCGTGTTGTACGCGAACGTGACGTAGGGCAAAACGATGTCCCAGTTCTTGTGCTCTACATCTACGTACATGCTTATCATGTCAGCCAGGGTCTTGTTGAGGCGTTCGGTGAGCCCGTTGGTCTGGGCATTACTGGATTCTGCGGCGGTGTGTTCACATGGGCGTAGTTGTACATGCGTTGATCGTCGTACGCAATGTAATCAGGGTAGCGAGGAAATCTCGAGTACTGAGCGTCGCGATAACGGCAAACTCTGTAGACGTGCCCAGCTTCGCCACAATGAAAGCATACCGGTCGACGGTCAGCGGTACGCCACAAATCGGTTTTCCGACGCTGGTAGGTAAGTGGAGACTCACTATTGAGCCACGTTGTGGAGCTACGTTGTGGGGCATGTTGGTTATACGGCATTCGTCTTGTCGGAGGAATCGGTGAGGTTGCGAAAGTGGTCGGTGCTGACAGTGGCTGTGTTTGCAGGGTTGGTGGTGGTCCAGTCATTGGGGTCTGCTGTGCTGAAGGAGCGACGACGGGGTGTCGGACTGCATCAGCATAAGTAAAATGTCGTCGCACACAATTATAGCCGGATGAAGAGAGAGCATGGCGGACCTCATCCCGGACAACATCAGCGACAAAAGACAATGCAGGCGTCGATTCAGTTGCTGAAATTAAACCAAGCTGCCGAAGCTCCTCCCTCAAAATCTCCCGGATGACTTCCCGCAGACGCCTGTCGTTGTCGCAGAGGCTCGCCGCAGTCGTGACAGGGCTACTCGCTCGAATGTTGACCGGGTTCTGCTGGCGGTACCGTTGCTGTAGGGCCCGTTCAATAGCTGTGGCTTCTTTCGTGAACTCAGCTACTGTTGTTGGCGGATTTCTCACAAGCCCAGCAAACAGTTGCTCTTTCACGCCTCGCATTAGATACCGCAGCTTCCTGTCTTCCGGCATCTCGGGATCCGCCTTGCCGAAAAGACGGGTCATGTCCTCAACGAACATAGCGACGCTCTCGTTTGGTTTTTGAATTCGAGCCTCCAAGAGACGTTGCGCATTCTCCTTTCTGTCAAGACTACTAAAGGTGTCAATCAGCTGGTTGCGGAAGTCGTCCCACGTAGCCATGCTTCTTTCCCTGTTGATGTACCACGTCTGGGCATTGTCTTTTAGGTAGAAGTACACATTCGCGAGCTTGTCTTCTGGGGTGGCCCACTGGTTGTACTTCGCGCAGCGTTCGAACTGGTCCAGCCAGTCTTGTGCATCTTCATAGGTCTCACCATAAAAGCAGTCAGGAATCATGGGATTCTGAAGTGTCATGTGCGATGTAGCTGCAGTGGCCATGGTGGTTGAAGGAGGCAAGCGATTGCTGGCAGTTTCTGGAAAGCGATTGAGCTCGGGAGCTAGGCCTCGCATACGGCGGCTGGAACGGTGGACTGGTGTGTCGACGGGTGGTAGATATTCCGGGCTTGAATATCGGGTCCACGAAGGGGTGCCAAGCATGAAGACGTACCCAGCACTTCCACCAGTGTGACGACGCGAGATTAGGAACATTAGGAATATAGAATAAGAACACTTTATATAGGACAAGAAAGACGCGAATAGAGACGAATAGGACAAGACGGGCAAACAACTCTTGCTTGATTTCTCGCATCAGAAAGCAAACCTCTCTTTTCGTCAGGCATGGCGGGGTCTGCCTGATGGTGCAGCCACTTTCGCTCTTCGATGAAAATAGTCTTGTTTCTGCTCGGGGGTTGTACTGTTGTCCCCACCAACGTCGCGCCCTTTTCTTTGCAGGCGATGCTCCTGATCGTGCCCAGAAGTGTGCCACTCAAGAGATCCCAGGCTTGAAGTACAATCTCTCGATTCTTGCAACAGGTTCTTGCCATGTCTTCCAGCTAAAAAGAGAACTGACGCAGCTTTTCTTCTGTGTCCCACTGATGTAGAGTGCCCACTGGTTCGTTAATCTGCATTCATGTCTCTGGGTCTTCAGTAGAGGACTCATGGAGGCTCGGTGGCTCTCTGGGTGAATCGTACCATGTGGTACAGGGTCTGTCATTGTCAAATTGGTCAATGTCAAGACCCTTCGTAGTTTGTGTCTTGACGCCTTGACAGGGACATCCGGAACATGAAAGAAGCAGCACCTGCTCCAGACGTCGCGGGGTCTTGGCGTTTACGAAGAAAGCAGGCTGTAGGTCCAAGATGAACGTCGAACTTTTGGCCGGTAAACCAAACGTCAGGTTACAGCAATACACATTAGCATAAACAACGAGAAACAGACTGCTAACAGTCCATCAACTGACAAGCGGTGAAGCACGTAAGCATTTAAAACATGTTCCGTCGAATACTCCAGTTCTAATATATGGTGGTCACGCAAGGTCTAGAATAAACTCGAACGTTTGCGTCTTGCCTACGATCTTAACAGAATGTTCCACTATAATCGAGAACCTTCTAGAATGAGGCGCAGTTGGCGCTTAGCATTCTGAAGGACTTTGTTGGCGAAAACCAAAGAAAAAAAGTGAAAATTAGAAACGGCGTGTGACAATAAACAAACAGTCACAGCCAACGATAATTAACATTGTGTTGTGTTCAGTTGGGGCTCGTGCTTTAGCAACAGCTTCGCTATCCAAAACTGTGACGTGCAGGCCTTTCCAATTTGGTTTCCCGAAAATATGTTTTTGTCACGCTGCGTTAACATACAGTTTCGGATGTCAATGACACCATGACGTATTTATTTCGAGCAGGACCAGAAATACAAAGAAAACTTCACGGACTTCTTGATGAAGAGATCTGCCTTCTCTCGGATGCCCCATGCTCTTTAGGGACAAGCATCATTCACCTTCTTCGTTGAATCGTCTGTGTAAAAGAGAGAGTATGAACATGAAATAAAAATCGCCAAATCTATTTGATCCTCAAGTACCAGAAGAAAAATTTCTATTGGTAATACGAACCAGCTGTGGGATTCTATCCTTGCCAAAAACAAAGTTATGTACTCGCGTGATTTCTTGGACAGACCTAAGCGAATTCCTGAGACACGTTCGTAAGAAAATCTTCCTTAAAAAGCTACTAAAATATAAACGCCTATTGTATACCTGCTTAACAAAACTTGAAAATATATAGGGGTTAGCAAGCTCGTACGAAGTGGTGAAACGCGAGCTGTCCAGTTAGTGATAATATGTAAGCAACACTTTGCATCGGCACTTTCCTCTATGTCTGGAAGGCAATGTTCACAGATTTACACATTTAATCGCCCGACGTACACAATCAAGTAAGAACAAAGAACGCTTTAGCTGATTTCACGTAATTGCTAAGCAAGAAAGTAGCTGAATCGCAATTTCCAAAAAGCTCGAGAAGCTTTTGTGAACCTTGTGAGCTGAGGTATCATGATATCGGCAACCACCTGGGCCCTTTGAATCAAGGCCTAGCAGATTTCGGGTAGCTTGTCGCAGAGGCCATCATCCCACAGTTCTTTTGTGCCTAAGGGGCGCAGAGTAATGGAAAGAGCAGGAAATATTTTCACAGCGCACTCCACCGTTGCATGAAATACCAATGGAGAGCTGCCACCTGCTTGGCTAAGATTCTTCCTAGCCGGTAGTAAATAATATATGAAAAAAGAGGAGGTAGGGGAAGGTATGCTTTTGGAGTCAGTAGAGTCCCTCGCCCAACAACAATCGAATACGCCACAGTGTTGCGTAGGCGTGGAGTTTAAATGTGTGTAGTGATAGTCCCTGGCGCGTTGCTTTCAAGCACCGACGATTTGAGTTGTCGAGCTACCTCTTCAAAGGACGTAATTTACGACCACTGCAATGGCATCAAAGTTTTGGACGTGAAAACTTTTCTGACGTGTACAATAGTTTGTGTCTACTTTCCATGTTGCAGTATAGATGGTGTTGTTCTATTACCATGGAATTCAAACAAATGTCATACACAGCCATAGGGTCAGATTTTAATTTTCGATACGGCTACGATGTAGTCGTATTGTTCAGATATACTGAGAATTGGCTTGTAATATTCTGCGTGGTACCAGAGAAGAAAAATCGGCTTTGGAGATTGAAAGCCTTGGTTGAAGCCCAAACCCGGCAGAGGAAATTTATCGGGGGCGAGACTCATCAGTGTCAAGCTTTGTTACCGCGTAGGCTTGACGAGGAACTTGTAGCACCCGCTAGAGGTGCTGCGGCCCACGCTCGCTACCAGTGCGTGATTTCTTTTTTTTTTTCATAGCGAAGACATTTAGGCGTTCACTGCCGGTGCTTGTTTTCAGTTTGAGCAGAGACTTCCGGGGGCACTGCGATGTCACTCGTTCCAAGTGCGTGATCTCTCTCTCTCTTCAACAGCGAAGACAATGAAGTCAACGCGGCAAAACTGCATGTGCATCTGAAGGTGCCCAGAGCTGCTGCAGCATAGCAGTGCAGCCAAGCGGTGGCAGAGTTGCATGCAACAAAACCGCAGAGCTATCAAGCTCACACGGAAGTTGTCATGCGTATTCACATTGGCGCGACGGTTTTGTTCACTGCGACCTTCTGTACACCAGCTTGCGCGCCTTCTCAACTCATACTCTACCCCCCCCCTAACAATACCATCCCGCCTGTCTAAGCACATCGGCGTCTTCCGCGGAACTTTGTCGGTGAAGCTCTGAAGGTCACTGCAGGACACGGTCGTACACGATGAATTGTAGGCGCTCTCCCTTCGTTCAGACAGACAGAGGGAACAAACTTTTGAAAGTAATGCTTCGAAATTTGCCCGAAGCCAGAAAGCCAGTAACCACGGCCACGGCGGCGCCTCCCCGAGTCCCACTGGGTGAGGATTTGCGCCGAAGGGAACCCACGGTTGACTAATACCGTGCAGGAAAACCCAGGGGGAAAGCAACCACCACTTCGCCTGTTGGCGGTTAGAGCAGCACACAAACTCTTGCGTCCACTGATCCACGCTCGAGCAGCACATTTGGTGAAGCGCGACGCATACCTAAGTAGACGCCAGTTGCATGTCAATTTTTAGAACAAACCGTTCGAAAATCATCATAAGCAATTCTGGTTTTAAAACCTAATGGCCATGCGCCCATTTATCTCGTAACATTTTGTGGCAATATTTCCCTCACTAAAACCGAAATAACGCCTCTTTCGTACCTTGTTCGGCTTACGACCTTTTGAAAGGACACTTAAGCACATTTAGAGAGGTAAGCTTGCTCACCGTAGAACTGTATTCAACGATTGCCGATTGTGTTCGGAAGATCAAACATTTGGGAAATTTGGCTCAGGTGACGTGCGCTCCTGAATTCCGAGCTGATAGCTGGTGATCCCGCGCTCTCACTGCTCCAGGGTAAAATCATTTCATTTATTATCGTTGTTTTTTTATCCTTTTTTTAAACCTTGCTCGATTCGTACGAATCGGCATATATTCATGTTTGCATCACCAAACAAAAATGACATTGGGGGAGATTATACTGTTATATCACGCTCAAAGGCAGTCGTGGTGGCCTGAGTAAATGTAATATCGCAGTGGAAAGCCACCGCACACTCTCTACGTCCACCTTTAGTTAGCCAAAGCCAAATAAATGTTGGTGTGGTGTAAAAATCGGGGCAATCTGCCAATTTAAAACAGAGAAATCGAGGACTCAGTCAGTGTACAAACAAATTGTATATCTGAGCAGATATCTACGGGAGAAACAAATTATCTATGCAAATCGATTCACATTAACATCCCACACCAAAGCGGGGAATACCGAATGTACTGCCTGATCTTTATCTCACGGCCAGTTTAGTACCTGACACACGTGAGTAACCTTTGCGACAAGGGAGACACTGCCTACGCGTGTGCTAGCGAAACCAGGAAATTCTCCTCTCTGCACCCATGTTTGCGAAGCGCGCTCTTGACAAGTGTGAGTGCTGACAACCAGTGTGGCTTATTGTGTTTGTATTCGGTGCAAAAGCAAAAGGTGCTCGAGTGGTGGTGCACTGTTCCTACTAATACGAGCTGATCTAGAAGGTTTGGTGCCCCATTAAAGGGTCACTCACCAGGCTCCCAAAGTACAAAAAGGAGCAGAATATTCTTTCCTGATGTTTCTCGTCCTTCTTGGCGCACTGCTGTGACGTAGACAGTAGTTTTCGTGACGTCTACAGCGTGCATGCTCTCGATTCATTGGTATACACGAAATATCACATGCGATTTGTCTCCTGCACTGCTTTGCCATGCAGCTATTCATTCGGTCTTCTTTGTATCACATGAATTCCGGGAACTGATGCTTTAAGCCACCGAAAACCAAGCGTGTCGAAGGGCGAATTTCGCGCAAATCAACTTGGTGCAGCAAGGGACACGCGAAGGGCGAGCAAGAAGATTCGCGCGTTGACGGCTCAAGCTGAGAACTAGTGACCCAAGTGCCTGCTATACACACACCGAAACAGTCCGAAAAGATCATACCTTCAATAACGTGGCCCTACAGCAGGAGGCTGCTCGCTAACATAACGCCACATGCGAAGCACATCCCCAGGACGGTCATCGACCCACAAATCATGCACGCTTCACCGTAGTGGATCGTAAGTTGATGAAACATTTTTGTGAAACCCGTTCGGTTTCAGTTACATTGCTTTAGAAAGCATGTATTCTTGTGTGATATGCACGATGTTCTGGTGCATTGAATACGATGCCTTCAAAAAATGTGTACTGGTCACAAGTCAATGCTGGTCGTGATATATCAGCAGCGTTAACGAGGCGTCCACATGGGTGGATGAATGGCTAAGGGTGTGTAGCCTCTAAACAAGTTATGCATTAAACTATCAATTACTCCTCTGATGACATCTTAGACTTTCGTCAGGCAAACCAATGTGTATATCAAATAGATTAACCATTTTCCCTTAGTTTTTTCTTGGAGATTGCAGTCTTTCATGTCAGAGACGGATGGCCAGTGTCCGCACCTAATCAGCGTTGAAAATTTCACGCTCCTGAAAGTGACGAATTGCGCGAATTAGGCGCTAATCAATAGCTGAACGCAAGAGATAAGTAGAATTTAGCACAAGTTTGTGAAACGCGAAATGTTCGACAAAGCTGAATTGCCGCTTTGTCTGGGAATGTAACTACGAAATGAATGTCCCTACTGCACTTGGCTGGCATTTACGCAGTTTCTCGTGTTTGCCCCTTCCGAGTTGCAGGTCACATCCCAAATCGCACTGCCCTTCGCTTTGCTTATGGCTCACGATATGTAATTACTTGCTTATCATAAAGGTGCATAACTATGATAGTTACTCCGATACGTATCACATCTCAAGTGGGCACCTCACATCCGCAAAAACATGGTAAACGGTTATGTGCCAAATATGGAATGCCATGCAATAGAGGAATAGAATGGGAAGAGTTATGGATAAGAGTGAACGGAAAGTATCCGCGATTCCCTGATGGCAATGTGTTCTTGGGTAACTAAGGAAACGAATTTCGTGTCGTGTTCTCAGAATTGGACACGAAAAGCTGAAACGTAGGTCTGAAAATTATTATGCACAAAACTAAAGCAATATGCAACATTCTCGGCAGAAAACAACACTTTGAGATGGGTGGAAAGACGCTGGAAGTTTTAGAGGAATAAGTATACTAGGGCGGGAAGTAACCATGGAGCCAAACCTTGAGAGTGAAATAACTAGAAGGATAAGATAGGGGTGGATCATATTTGGCAAGCAATCTTGAATCATGAATGGTTATTTTCCTCCAACCCTCAAGAGAAAAGTATATAACATCTGCGTCTTGAAGGTATTAACCTACTGAGCAGAAACCTGGAGGTTACAAAGCGGGTTTAGCCTAAAAAGACGATGCCATGAGCCATCAAAAGGAAAATGATAGGTGTGACCTTAAGAGTTAAGAAGAGAGAAGAGTAGGCCAGGGAAGAAATCAAGGTTAAGAATAACATAGTTGAAATCAAGAAGAAAAAAACGCCAGGCCTGCGCGGATGGCGCGGCACAGTCACAGCAAAAGCTAGAAGAGCGGCCTTTCAGAGCCTTTTCTGAACACTCATTGGGTAACTAATGCAAGCACAGTTGCTTAATACCCACTAGTTAATTGTTAACTAACTTATGTGGGTAGTAAGCCGGAATTCGCTATGCTGTTTTTCGTCATTCTTCTGAGAAGTGTGGTGTCCGCTAAACACTTGTAAGAAATTTTGTGCCAATTAGTCATGCAGTGGCTGACGACGATGAGCAATCGTCGCTGAAATGGGTATGCGCCAAAGTTAACAGGGGAACAAAAACAAGCTTTTGTGATCGGTTGAAGCATTGGACGGCCCACTCGTTACGCTCTTCGCATTGTGAGACGACTGGTTGTTTATTCGCTGTTTCAAAACGCTTTATAAGTCGTATTACGAGATTGCTTTCCTTACATCAAACCTGCCTAAGGCAAGCTTCACAAGTTAGAAGCACCGGCGTAATTAAGCGGTAGAAGACTGGGCTAGCACCCAGTGGACCCGTGTTATCGCCCCACTGTGTCATTGGTGCTAGATTTTTTTATATTTTCGCGCAATGTACATGGACACCGGCGGTGGCGGCGGCGGACAAGAGCACGTGACCCGAGTTGTGATCTCATAACAGCTTTTGCTGTAAAATGGACATGGGCCGGTCACGTAGCACGTAGGCTGGATAACAGCTGGTCATTAAGGGTAACTGACTGAATTTCCGGAGAAGGCAAACGCACGAAGGGGAGGTAGAAAGTTAGGTGGGCCGATGAGATTTAAAAGCTCGAAGGTATAACGTGTCAGCGGAAAGCACCAAACCGAATTGAATAAGTAATTGAGTAAAGCTACAATATGCAGTTTCGGTGGTTGATGGCACATGTGTATATATCAGGGGAACTTACGGTTACAACGTAAACAATAATCCTCCAAAAGTCGGAATTGTCTTTAATAAAACGCAAAACATCAACCTATGTCATACCATCTTTGATAATGATTGTTTTATTGGAAAACTGTTTCTAATCACTGGCCATCTCTCTCATCAGTGCATTGTCGTTATTGCCAAAAAAGAATACGAAATTCAGTATTTCGTATCAAAAACAAAAATAGAATTTTTCGTGAAACGGAAATATTGTAATCATTACTGAGACTCGACGTGAAACTTTGCTAGTTAGGCAGGTGCCGATGAAGTAAATTAGGACCCCTTTAGCAGATCCTGACAGTTGTTAGAGACATAAAAATGCAACATTCACTGCAATAGCATGAGAATGCTGCTTTTGCTTACCTTATGCATGGAGCGCCAGATTTTTTCTGCATTACAGTGGAGGCCTCCCATTCACCGGCAAGAATGGTCCGTACCGCCTTCTTATTGCATTCTGCCTCTGAAGTCGAAGTCCAGGCTTTATAGGTGGACCATAGCGTTGAGGAATTGGTCGAGGAGGTGGCTTTCTCTTCAAGAAAGAAATCTTCATTGCTAAAGCTGGAGAAGGTCCACCATTATATGCTAGAGAGAGCAGAAGTGCGAGCGCCGTGAAGACGAAGAGAGCATTGAAGCAAGAAGTTTTTCTCATTATAAATAAAATACGCAGTCAAAATGACACTGTGCACTCTCAATGACACTGTGCGAATGACACTGTGCAACCACGCTGAAGCTTTCTTTGAAATTAGAAAGCGCCTTCCACTACACCACTTGCATCTGCACTGATACTTCAATGTTTCGATGGGGCAAATTTATTGAAAACACGCTACCCTAGTTTCTTTATGTTTTTTGGCACAACACCTATTATATTACTACCAGGAGTTATAGCGTTAGAGGAGCGCGAGTTATTACCTCACTCATTCACATTAAATCAGACATGCAAAGCCGCATTTGAACAATGCTCTGTAACCTACATGCTATGCGGCACGACCATCAATAATATATCAGAGTTAAAATCAGCTTGAACATTTGAATATGCAACGCGAATAACTAGTGTGTTTTTGTTTTGTTAGTTAGGTGATTACGCAGCTTAATTTCGTTCTCCCTGCTCAGCGCCCATGAGTACCCCGCCAGTTACTTGCTTTTAATATTGTTAAGAACAAACTTACAAAAGATTATGAAAAAATGTTACTATATATTTTATTTTTTAGCAATGCAATACAGCATATCTCAATAAGGACCAGTGCAGGGAGGGCATACATTATGCGAGTTGATTATATTATTATTATTAATAATAATAATAATTATAATATTATTATTATTATTATTATTATTATTATTATTATTATTATTATTATTATTATTATTATTATTATTATTATTATTATTATTATTATTATTATTATTATTATTATTATTATTATTATTGCCCCGCCGTGGTGGTCTAGCGGCTAAGGTACTCGGCTGCTGACCCGCAGGTCGCGGGTTCGATTCCCGGCTGCGGCGGCTGCATTTCCGATGGAGGCGGAAATGTTGTAGGCCCGTGTACTCAGATTTGGGTGCACGTTAAAGAACCCCAGGTGGTCGAAATTTCCGGAGCCCTCCACTACGGCGTCTCTCATAATCAAATGGTGGTTTTGGGACGTTAAACCTCAAAAATTAAAAAATCATTATTATTATTATTATTATTATTATAGGAAAATAAATAAAAGAGGACAGAAAGATATGTGTATGGTGTATATTATTTACCACACTGGTGAATTTAATTACAAATGTAAATAGCTACTTCTTATATGCTTCTGAAAAATTATACATCAACTAAATTTAAACTGTTGTTTTCAGGACCCAGCCGCAAAAAATATTTAGCACACAGGGCTGACACACGATGAGACCTATGCCTTGAAAAGGATATATGTAATTCTTCAAAATGTTCCCGCGTGGCAATAACAGAATAACTTTTGGAATACGATGTCCCAACAACAGGCTATGATTATGAGGAAGGCTCTTGTCGAGATCATCGAAAATCTCGACGTTGCTGGCACTCAAACGTGCACCTACATCTAAGCCTACGGGCTACCATGTGCTATATTTTGATGAAAGTGAAATTCGGTCACCGCGACCAGACTTTATGTTGATAATGTATGTTTAATGGCGCAAAGGCCAGTAGATGGCGAGAGAGCACCAGTTTATTAGTCGAAGAGAATGCATAATGATTCAGGCACGTGGCTGTAGAGGGCGCTGAAATCACCCACGCTAAAGGCGGATAAAACATAAAAGTAATGAATTCATGAGAGTCGCGCTGCGCATGCGCAGTGAGGATGAACAAATAGTGGCGCTAGCGTAGGAATGACCACGCCAGTACCATGACATATAAAGCACGAAATGGCAGTCCACCCAATCTGCTTGCCGGGCCCCACTTAAAATCAATGAGGTGCCCCAACAAAAAAAAATGCCAACATCTTTGACTAGTGGTCGTGACAATAAAACTATGAAAGGATGGCATCAGCACAAAGCCTGGTCAACAGCTCTTGGGTCCGAGGGCCGCGGGGCAGGTGAAATCTTTAATGTAGCTGCCGCAGCAGCAACTTCCTTACGGAGTTCAGGCGATCGTCTGACTAAAAATATGACTTTTACGTCCTGTGAAAACGCCTAAAATAATTCCTGTTTAAAATGCTCTTCTCTACCTCCAAGCACTGATGTACAATGCCCACGGTAAGGTAATGGAAAGTATTCTCTTCTAATGACATTCAATTCATTGCATTCTACCAAAATATGAAGCATACGGAGAGGTTATTATGTACATTTGTTCCATCAGCACACGATAGAATGTATATGTGTGTATTTTGTGTAAACTTCCTGTTCAAAGACTGGTGATACTTCTGTGTGGTGTGACTTTAATACTGGTGGCCAATTACCAAGATGCGGCTTGATAGCTAGCAGTTTAATTTGTGTGTGGTGATCCGATAAACTTTCTAATATGCACAGAACCTTCGCCTTAGAGACGGAATAAGTCCAGTGAAGAGACGGGTATGGGCTTATCTGCAGTGTTCTCGTGAGCGATGGCTGCTAGTTGGTGCACTGACAAGTTTCCTTCAATGTCGAAGTTCTCTAGGACCCAAAACAATACGACATGCTATTTGAGTGTGTACACCCTGCACAAGAGCGAATAGAGTGAAACAAGCACTGGATCTTTTGGTTTTTGACAGTTCTAAGAGCTGTTACCAAGCTCAAAGAATCAGTGCTTCTTACCGTCTTTAGGAGTTCAAATTGTTGAATTTGCATACTTGCTGCAAGTATCGCATAAGCTTCTGTTAAGAGAATGGTCGTATTGGGGTGCAGAATGAGAGAAAACGAAAAGAATGGTCAAACCCCACACCAACTCTCTGTGGCTCATACCCGCCGAACTTCATGCTAACATAACGCGAAATTTAGAACAGCTTAAGCGGCTCAAGTGTGAAAAGACATTTCCTGAAAGCTTGTCGAAAACAAATGACAAGATACCCACTAACTGTGAATGGAACTGAAATTCTTGCTGTTGTGCAACACAAATTCCTGGGTGTTATCCTCGACCGGAATCTATCGTGGTCAAAACACGTCACAGCCTCGAAGTGAAAGCTCAAGATTTTTGTCAACGTTCTTCGGGTCATGGCCGGAGCAAGATGGGGCCTTTCGGAGGCAGCTCTCCTGAAACTGTACCAATCTTTATTCGTAGGGTACTTACGATACAGGATGCCCGTGCTTTCAAGCATGAAACCCAGTTGTGCGAGCACGCTAGAAAGCATCCAAGATCAAGAGTTGCACACATGTTTAGGCTTACCTCAATTCACATCTACCAAGGGAACTCTCGCCGAAGCTCGGGCTTGTCCAGTCAAAGTATGTGTGCTCTGCGAGCCTCTTCGAGTCCACCTTCGCCTGTTGGCTCGACACAGGTGACATCCCCTATCAGCGATCCCTGCCAGCCATCGAGACTGCAGTTATTCAAAAGCTATATCACTGCTTGAGAACACCATACCGCCAAGATTCTCTCCCCCACGTGTTCCTGAGACACCTCCGTGGCTCCGGCTTAGACCACATGTCATACTTAGGATTCCTGGGATTATGAAGAAGTCCCTTGTATCATCGATTGGCCTAAAGCAACTTACACTGCTGCACAGTTATACCATATAGGACGGTGTGGCACACGTATATATTGATGAATCTACCACGTCACGTACCTCCGCCGCAGCTTTTGTCATCCCGCAGATGAAGATAGCTCGACGTTTCAAGATAGATCACAAGACCACATCAACAGCCGCGGAACTATTGGAGGCAATCCGTTTCATGTCGACAGAACCCGCTCGTAAATGAACGATACTGTGCGATGCCAAAGCTGCTCTTCAAACCATCAAGGGCTTCATGAGACAAGGTCCATATCATACTTTAGCCATTGAAATAGCAGAGCTTCTTGGCATTGCTACAAAAAATGGACATGATGTAACATTTCAATGGATACTTGCTCATTGTCGCATAATGGGCAATGAAGCGGCGGACGCTGAAGCTAAGAGAGCTTTAAATAGTGCGCCAGAAGTGTGCATCGCATTTTCTCGACAAGACACTAACATCCTACTTCGACGCGTAATGCGCAACTTCATCTTAGAGCACTGGCAAAAAACAGAACACTAGTACATGCGGCTGAACAAATGGGACCTGGAAATTAAGTTCCGTATGCCTCACAAGTTAAAGCGAAGCATCTCATATATTATCCACCGCATTCGCCTCGGTGTGGCTTACACGAGACGTTACACCCACTTTATTGGCTGTAATGACACAGGTCCCAATTGTGGTCACTGTCGGTTGCCAGAAACGCTCGAACATATATTTTGCGACGGTCCAGCATATGCAAGCGAACGTCAGCAACTGATATCTTCGATTGGCCGATATATTAGTCGACCATTAACCGCTGAGGTTGTCTTAGATCCTTGGCCTGACGCCAGCAGCACACATGCGGGTATACGAGCCGTCATCGCTTTCTTAGAAGCCACTGGACTGGATTCACGTCTGTAGAGTTACCCTAATAAGGACATATCATCTCTCTACCTTACCATCATCATTCATCACTCTTTCACTCCCCAGTCACCCTTCCCCAGTGTAGAGTAGCAGACCAGAGCAAACTATAGCTCAGGCTGACCTCTCTACCTTTCTGTAAATAAATTTTCTCAACTGAAAGCTTGTTTGGAATTTTTTTGGAAAACTTATGAAATAAAGAATAATGAGTGTATCAAAGGAACAATACTTCAGATAATACTTGCTGAACGTCAGTGCTACGTTTGAATGTCAAGCAATTTTCTCATGCTGGTAATGAATTCGCAGCCACTTTTGATCAGCCTGTGCGTTAATTTGCCTATGTCTTGAACAGAAGCTCAGAAAAGTTTTTAGGTTTATATTTGTATGCTCATAAAGCGAGCGTAGTTGTAAAGAATGCGCCATATGCCTAACATAATCACCTTCCATCCAATTTTGTCAAAAAATGTTTGGTTAAGTTAGTGTTCACGCTTTTTCAACAGCTTTGGAGCAGCTTTAGAACAGCCGAAATTTAGGCGTACTTGCATTTCGTTTTGGAGGAGACGCTCTAGGTGCCGACCAGTGCGGACGCGCGAAGATCGACTCTTGCTTTCAATAATGCTTTCTTATGGTATCCATGAATTTGTCGCCGAGTTTTCAGTCACACTGTGCGCCTAAACTCTCTAGAAATCAGCAGTTACCACCTTTGGGCTGGCGAATGGACCTGT